ACTCTTTCCTCACCTAATTACAACTCACATGGCCAGGCAGGGTGCCAGTGTAGCCAAAAGGGGGAACTGCATGTGGTCTGAAGCATTTGCTGCCCTGCGCAGAAGCAGCCGGGGAGAGAAGTGGGGACAGGAGCACCTCTCGCCACGCTGTGCTGGCAAAGCCTGCCTTGCAGCTGTGTGTTGGGATAGCAGCTTTACTTGCCACACAGACGTGAAAGCACAGCACGTTCCTTCCTAGTTCTGTTTTTAAGGATATTGCACCATTTCACTATGGGAGAAACAAGAGAGATTGTGTAGTAAGGCAAGGATTGACTAAGCAGCTGTTTTCCAAGGAGGAAAAGTTGACATGGACACAATAGTGCTGATAAGGGTCAGGTACCACTGAGCTGCAGTGATCTGGTTAATGGGAAGAAAAGGAACATCTTGAGTAAGCGTGGCTATTGCAAGAATGGTTTGAAACAGGTTAAAACTGGTATTTCAAAGCTGTAATGCAAAGAACTTTCACCCTTTGGGCCGGACCCAACCCTGCCTTCATCATAGGCAGCCCACAGCTGCATAAAGCCCTCCCTCTGCTCCTCTCCAACACCCCTTCTTTCTTTTCCCTGTTCCAGTCTCCACCCCTGTTCTGCTACTCCCTGCAAGAGCTTTTGCGTACTTTCTGCCTCAGTCTGCACTGCCCCCTGTGCGCCTTTTTGCCTCCCACTGGGAAATGAAAATGCCAGAGGTGGAAAGGAGGGACTGTAGGAACAAGGAAGGAGAACAACTAAGGAATCTACAGTTTCATGGCTAGGGAACCAGGATGCCAAGGGCATGCCAGGAAAAACAGACTGGAAAGACGTCATGCTGCAAAGAATGTGTGGGAATTAGGGTGTGAGAGTTTGTGTCTAAGGAAACACTGCTCAGTGTTAGAGCCTATGTGCGGTATGATATCCCTTGTGTTGACAGGGGGTCTAGTCATCTGGCAACATGAGCTCTGTTATCAGAAGTAGGATACAAAGATGTGTATGGGAGATTCAGACCATGAACCTGATATTAGATGGAAGGCAGATGAAAATGCTGCTTTATTACAGAAATTTTAGATGAATGCTGAAGGAGTGTGTGTGGAGACCTTCTCCCAAATGGAAAAATACAAAAAAAACCCACAAAAACCCCTCAAAAAACACACATGAAACCCAGCATTAAGATTGAAATATATATGTTTTTAATGCAGGAATTCTCATGAAATGAATAAGCTGAACTAAAATCTGTAATATCTTTGAAACAAAACTCATAAATGCTTTTGTTAACACACACCTTTCGTAAAAAAACAGCAGGCCAGAGGTTTGGTGAATGTCTCCAGCCCTTCTGGAGTCATGAAGTCCAAGTTAGCTTTATGTCATGAAGAACGGAGTTTTATCTCATTGTTTCTTACACCTTTTGAAGATCTTCTGCACAGTTAACTCAGTCACCAGCTTTGTCTTAGGATCAGCTCTGACCAGGAAAAGCAGGAAATGCTGAAATACGATGATTAAGATACGTTGGCCTAAAGCCGATCACAATGTCTTTACTAATGAGATTGTATTTCTTCTTTCATGCAGGCTACCTATCTCAGTATTTACAAAAAAAAAAAAAAAAAGCAGCTGTAAATAGTTGCCAGATTTTCTAGGCAGTTTTATAGCGGGCACATGCTTGTTGCATCTGCATTATTTGAGGCAGTAAAAGTTTTAGAGCCTTCCTCTTCCGTGGTTTGCCACTGTTTAGCCGTAACTTGCCATTTGACCCATCTTGAGTTTTTAATAATTTTCTGTAAGTTCCTCCTGAATTTCACCCCCATGAAGAAATACAGAACAGGGTTAATACAGCCATGGAAATAAGCAAGAGCTTCTGTTACAATGATTGCATATTCAAAGCTGCTGTTCAAGTTAAAGCTCCAGTCTATGATCTTTATCAGTCTCAAGAAAGTATACGGTGACTGAGTAAGAATAAATATAGCAACTACAGCAAATATTTTTTTTAGAGATTTGTTCTTTTGAAAACTCTTGGCGTGCAGTAAGGTTCTAATAATTAGTGAGTAGCAGATGATCATGGCTAGCATGGGAATAAAATAGCCAAGGGCCACTTGGATCACTTCAAGAACCAGTTCTGTGTGATGGTTTGGGTATTTTTCCTGACATATTGCCTTATCAATACTAAACACCTCACTAAAAATAAACTGTGGCGTGGCAAATGCTAGTGAGATCACCCAGATCAAGACACAGATTAATTTGCCCCATGTAATTCGTTTGGTTTGACACATACGTGCTTTGGTGGCAAAAGTAATAGCAATAAGCCGGTCAAAGGTGATAGATGTTAGAGTTAACATTGAAGTGTACAAGTTCAGAGTATACAAGCCCCGTATAATACGACATGCCACGGTGCCAAAAGTCCACTCCTGAGCAGCAGAATATGCCCAGAATGGCAGCGTCCAAAGGAAGACCCAGTCAGCTATAGCCAAGTTCAGCAAAAATATATCTGTCAGCATCTTCAGTTTCTCATAGAAAACTAGTATGACAAAGACCAGCATGTTTCCTGCTAGCCCAAGGATGAAAACAACCGAGTACATACAGGGCAGGAAGACTTTTGTAAATGTGCGAAAATTCTCACTTCCATTTTCGTTGGGATCAGTGATGGAGAAGTTATAATAAAAGTTAGTATCTGTAGTTGCCATGTTGCCTTCTTTTTAGAGGCAGCCTGTAAGGAGACACATTGAGATGTTTTTACTCAGCAAATAATTAAATCCTAATACATCCAGGAGACAGACAAAATCCTAAGTGCTAACAGCTAAGAGCTGTAGTAAAACATCCATGACAGACAAAAGCAAATATATTATTTGCTGAAGAGGGTTGTCTTGACAGTCAAGACCCAAACACAACAGCTGGTGGATTTAAACACATCATCTGTTACCAGATTTATACTGACGGCAACTCAAAAGATAAACAAAACAATTACAGAGGCTTCCGAAAACAGAATGTGGATTAAGCTTTCAAATACATCAGTGGTTTAGTGTTTGGATCGAGGGATTCTGGAGTAACCCATGAGAGAAACAGAGTTTGTTTTGCCAAATTCAGCCTTTAGGTTCAGGTTGCAGGCTCTAAGCGTCAGTGTCATTTGGCTTGGGTTGGACCTGTCTCAAAAAGTAGGGTTTGAGTCTCAGTGAGCGAGCACTTTAGAGCTTGTGGTTCAGCCTTAGCTCATTGTTTAGATGTTAGTCACATCATCAGATGGCGGCACTTCTTCCTTTCCCCTTCTCAAGTGACTTACTGGAAACATGGAGGGTTTTCATTAATGTCTCTTCCCCGCTTGATTTTAGTTGATCTGTTTCAAACATTTGTATTACTGTCAGAGGAGTGACCACTTCTCTGTCACCCCCCCCCCCCCATCACACCCCCTCCCCAGAGCTGATGCAGTATCACAGTGCCAGCTCTCCAAGGCAAGAGGCAGCACATAAGAGTAACAGCAGCAACCAGGTTTGCAAGCTGTTTACCTTGTAAATAAAGTCTTTTGTGAGACAGGTTAATGGGGTTTTCAAAGATTTAGCCTAAGGTTAAATGTCCTCTCTCTTGAGCTGCAAAGAGCATGTTTCTACGGGACTAATCCTACTGCAAGATATTACTCAGCGTAAGATTAGCAGAATTTGCCTCTGAATCATTTAGATTGGCAGAAAGGCCTCGCCTGTGTGAGTTATAACATGCAGCAGATTAAACATTACCTGAAAAAGTAGTTTCTGTGGGGCCAAGAAGCAAAACCCATGCAGTCTGTTAGTCACCAGAGAAGTACTATAAAACTGTGTGCCCCTTTGAAAAGTTACTGGCTCTTTAGAAAATACTTTACTTTTCAATTCAGATGGAGGCCAAGCAGGGGATGACGATCACTTGCAAAAGTAAGTTAGGCTCAACAACATCAAGGCAATGTATACTGAAACAAATGGAAGCACTGTGTTTTATTTTACGTACTCTTTGCAACAGCAGTCAGCTGGTGTTTCTTGCCTCTTTCTTGTAAAGGAAAGGTGTTTTCCTCTAAGCTGAAACAAAATAATTACCAGGCACTCAGTTTTGTAGTTTGACAACATAACATTCGGTTAGTAGCCTTACTAAAGTAGTACAGATCTTTCTGGTGTCCAAGCTTACTGGTAATTAGCCTTTAGGAGAGTCTTATTGACTCTTTTGAAAGAAGAATTTTTAATATTGGCTTTTAATCCAAATAGTTTTTTTTTCTATAGTAAGATACAGCATTCACTCTCTGGACAGACCAAAATATTTAAAATTTTAACTGACTTTTTTCCTATACATGAATGTTCTTCACAGGAATTTTCAAATTCAGGCAGTAATACCCTAATTTGTTTTTGGTGAAAGCAGATGGGAGTTTTGCTACGGATTTCATATGGAAGCCAGGCTAGGATAATTCTGTGAAGAATTTTCTTATATACAAATAGCAGGCACTGGCTTCCGATATTCTTGGCTCCCCCACATGCTGACATGAGCAGATCTACATATCGATGGAGAACAGAATGCTGTAGAAGAGATCTTTCTAAATTAAAAATGTTTTTTAACATGTCACACGCTTTACATTTCTCAGTTAGCTGGGCTCCTAAACTCAGAATATATGGATCATGTTTTAGGAAAGAGGTGAGGTGACTGACACCATCACATCAAACAGATAGCAAAGGATTAATGGGAGTTCTTGAACGTGACCTTTCAACTGATGCTCTAGAAATTTATTTTCATGTTATGTTCTTGTGATCTTAAAGGCCTTAAGTTTTCTTTCTTTTCCTCCTTTCTCCTGTCTGAATATAGCCATTTAAGTTCCTTCTTGGTTTGACAGCAGGAGCAATAAGTCTCAAATGCCTGACTGATTACCAACCCCTCTGAAAAAAAAAGAAAAAAAAAAAGTCCTGCATGCATAAAAATAGATTAACCTTGCAGAACTGTACACTCATTTTTAAGGCAAAGTCAGGTGTGGAAATTTCTAGCCCAAATCTTTTTCTTTTTCTTCTTTTATTTCTTTTTTTTTTTTTATGCTGGAGAGCAATAAGGAGCTAAAGATAAGATAATAAAGCTGAAAACTTTTTTATCTCAGCTGTTGTGTTCCAGACAAGCTGAAGTTACAGCTCAGTTTTGTTCAAGAAGGCTCTCTTAAAGGCTGATCCTGTATTATGAGGCTGAATGGTTTCTGGATCAGCTGACCACCTCTGCCAAATATTTTCAATCTTTGCTACTGAAAATGTGCTGCAAGTGTGTATAAAGTGGTATGGAAGTTAAAAACATAGGGGGAGATCCTTACCTTCTGCAGACCAGCCTCTCCACTAACACACTGACCAGTAAGCTTTTCTCTCACCGCACCCCCCTGATATTATTTTATTACCTGATTTTATATTATAAAAATAATTTTTTATATTATTTTATTATATTACCTGATACTTTTCTAGCCAGAAGCTCTTAAAGCATCCTGCTTGTTACTCACAGACCTAAGTTAGAATCCACATTGTATGCTGTCTCAAACTTCAGAGTTGTTATGCCTTGTCAGACTAGTTGTTTATGGAGTTATTCCACCTTTCCTCAAAGGAAAGAACAGTAGTAATCTTTCTGCCTGAAGTGAGATAGTGGGAAAGCATTGTGTTAGGTAGGGAGGGAGGGAGGAGGAAGAAAATTCCCTGGTCAGAATAGCAAGCAGGATGAGTTTATTTGCAGGGAAATGTTGTTACAGTCTGTATGGACTGAGTCTAGGTTCTGAAAAGATTTAGAAGTTTAATAGAAGCTTAAGTTGGATAGGAACAACATCACGGGTAGAAAAGTGAGCTAAAGAGAGCTATGCGGTGTCCAGTGTGTTAATACATGATTTGCTTTGTGGTCTGGTTCTGTTAAAATTAACTCTCGAATTAATGAAATGGAAATGCAAGCAAGTAATGGAGAGTCAGAACAAGCTATTCTGGTTTGTCCCAGCACAGATAGTTCTCCTCCTGTCACCAGAACAAGGCTGCTTATCATTTCCACCACTCTGGGAACTGGGTATCACAGGAGCTGGTAGTCTCAGTATTACAGGGGTTTTCCCCCATTTGGTCTCCATGGTCTAATTTCTGTTGTACTGATCGGCTATCCTGCTTTAGTAGCTGCACCTGAAAACCAGGGTGTAAAAAGCACTGTTAATGATCTTGCCAGTTGTTCCATTTCTGTTGTCTCAGGGTTCCAGACAGAAAATCCAATATAGATCACTCTTGTTTTTAAATAAATTTAAATAAAAAGTAATTTCAGCACATAATAATAAACAGCATAATTTGCCATGACAGTAAATGCAGGCTATAAACAGAAAAAGGTAAATAATGCTTGTCAGCATCATGTGATGTGCTTTGCTTAGAAATGAGCCAATTTCATTACAAAAGGTTTTGAGATTGTGATCAGAAAAGGTGAAATTATCTCATATATATATTTGTTGGAAGAGATGAGAGGTTTTCAAGCACATACCAGTTGGAAAAACAGATTCTAGAGCATAAATGGAAAGGAGAGAATTAACACACACCCTCTGAGTTCCAGATATCCAAAAAATTTGTCTAAAGACCTTTTTCAAAAACTAGCAAGTGTAAACTAAAGAGCTACTGCAATAACAAGGCATCAGAAAAGTTTTAATAACAAAACTAGAATGCAAAATCAGTATCTTCAACAGTCTGGAAAAAACCCCGCTCTTTCTCTTCAATTTTGCATATCAGGATGGAGGATATGTATGATACTAACAAAATCTTTCAAGTTTGAATATTTCTAAATGTTAAAGGGGTTTTTTTTGGTTTTTAAACTGTCTACCTATTTGCCTGAAGTCAAGAAAATAGTCACTTACTAGACGATGTCACATCTTGGGGGAACGCAGTCGTCTTATCTTTCAAAGGAAATGTGAAAGCAGCAGTTTGCTTTATTTATCAGTGCTGAAGCCTGTGCCGCTGCCTCACAGCTTTCGTAGTTGTTGATCAAAGCAACATGATGTGAAGTTACTCCTTTGTTTTGATTCTTGAGTGATACTACTACAGATACGATAGTATGAACAAGCTGTGCTCTGAAGATCCAGTTCAAATTCACTTACATGTGGCCATTCATCTGAAATGTCCAGAATGAAATTGATTTTTCAAAAACTATTTGCAGAATTAAAACTTAGTCTGTATTTACCACTTACCTTTTTTAACCACTCATGCATATTTTTGACAATATTGGATTTTCCAATTCCTTCTAGTTTTTCTATTTTTTCTAGGGCAAAAATATTCTAGTGACAATTTTCTCTCAGATTTTTTGCCCATCTGAGATGAGCTAGAGATGGCTAGAAAGATATTGTGTTGGTGGCCATCCCCAAGTGAGTTTTTTACCTTTAAGGCAATCTCAGCCCTAGTTAAAGTTGGTGCATGTGCTAAATTTTCTTTCAGAGTCAATGAAAGAAGCTGGGAGGGCCTCCATACATTCACAAGGGAGCCGGAGGGGGCCTACCCTATGCAAGGGTGACTGTTTTCACTTGCAGCAAAGGCGGGGTGGGAATTTACTTACAGCCTATGGGTACAAGATCTGGGAGAAAAATAGTTGTGAGGAGGCTCTTGAGAGGGTGCAGGGAAGTGGAGGTGCCTGGGCAACGCAGCTCGATGAAGTGATACTCTGCTGTTGGTTGTTCTTACTGTAATTAGGGACATCTTTTGTGCAC